AAGTAGAAAAACTAAGATAACTGCAGTGAGAAACTGTTTCTATGGAGACACAGTGCTGTATCTCCAGTTTCACGGGCTCAAGGAAAGGTTTAGAGGTATTTATAGCGTATACTGCACTAACAAGCTCAGTGTCTTCAGGGAATATAAAATCTCCTCCTACAAGAGCAGTGATAGTGACCTGTACAGTATCAGAGGGTAGCACTGCTCCTTGTGGTATTGTTATCCTTATACCATATTCCTCCCAATTAAGTGATTGGGTAGATTTACCGTGAATAAGAAATGAATTCTTTGCAGCAACATGTACACTTTTAAGTTCATCTATAAGGATCATAATAATTAGTATTCTATACACTAGTGAAAAGTTACAATTACTACATACTACATACTATTAAAAATATCAATGTATTTCTGAAGCATCATACACGTATATACATGCATGTATAATAGTTAGACTATTTCAATTTATTTACTTAATTCAGTGGGTTGCATTGTGGGTCTTGTAGCAGGTATACTTTTAAATGATACTTCAGCTCCTAAGAAAATTACATAAATATTAAAATGTGTCATACCATTTAGCACAAAATTTTCAAGGGCTGTAAATTTTGCGAATTCACCTAAAAATCTATTGCGCAAATTTATGCCTTCTGCCGTCTTTGTACTGTAAAATTTGATTTTTGTGGAACCAATTTTCACAAATATTCAAAGAACTTCAAAGTTTAGAGACCTCAAAAATTTTGTGCTATACAGTAATTAATGACATGCAAAAATACATGTACAATCAAGTCAATGGGAGTGACAAGTTTATTGCAATATAAAAAATAAAATAAAATAATTAAAACTTGAATGCTATACTACCGTATAGCATTTTAATTTTGCGAAGTTAAAATTTCGCGGATTGATACAAATCAGTTTTTCACAGAAAAAACTTTTGCGGATTCGCAATATTAATGCCACACAAAAATAATAATCAATATAAATCATTAGTAAACTCATTCCTTACTATTGATGCCTTTCTCAATCCCATCAGCTACAGCAATCGCTTCCTCATCCCTCAATGCTTGTATTAATGTATCATAAGTTGGACCACCAACACTCTTTACATCGTCAGCTTGTTCCAACCATGCTGTCAAACATTTTCTTAGGCCTTTACGAACATTTCCTTTGCTTTCTTCCTCAATAACATCAAGTGTACCAGGGAGCAGTCCCAAACGAAGACCAAGGTAATAATAATCAACACCAGAATATCTGTGCTTCTTTAGTATATCAAGTACATGAATAAGATTACTGGTATCTAATGGAATAATATGGTAGTAATACATTCTGAAGCAACATGCTATATATTAATTTAATTCTATTTACTTAATTCAGTGTGTTGCACTCCACATTTTGTAGTAGGTGGGCCTTGGCCTTTTAACGATGCTTCAGCTCCTAAGAAATAAAAATAGTTCACAGTAAACATATGGTATGAATCCAAATAATGAATATAAAATGATGGT